GACAATAAGAAGAAAAAAAAGAGAAGAGGGTGCAGACATCTCCATATACCTCAATATGACTATACGATCTAAACATGATGCATGACTGTCTGAGGAGCTACAGCCTCCTCTGCGCTCAATCCCAGAAAAGAATATGCTGGCATCTTGCTCCTTCTTTTTTTATTTTTAGTTCCATTTTTAAAAAACTCCCCTAATAAAACAAATGAAAAATAGTATGTAAATGGGGTGTAATACTCGAGCGCGAATCTCCGTCGTACATAAAAGATGAGTGTGTGTGTGTGTGTGTGTGTGTGTGTTCCGTTTGCGACTTCACCTGTGTGTTTGTCTGCATTCATTTTCTTCAAGCCTGCACGCGTTCGTGTGTGCTGTTGCCGACTGTGTTTCCAGTCGTGCCCCTGTCATCGCTGATGGCGTTGTCATGTCACTTGCCTACCGCCTGCCTGACGAAGTTTGTTTTGCTTCTTTGTTTCCTTTTGTGGCTTGTGTCATTTTGCTTCCTTTGAGTCTTTCTGTTTTGTTCTTGACATGATCAAAGGTGTCCTTGCTTGCATGTGTGTGCGAGTGTGTGCATGGGGGTGCACACGTGAAGCCACTCAACTCGCTTGACACCTTGTCATGTGAGACTTTTGCTTTCCTCTTTATCAAGTCGGCTGCCTGCATATGTGTGTGTGTGTGTGCGTGCATGTGGGGGCGTGCGCAAGCACGATTTTGCTTCATGCCCTTTTCTTTGCTTTTGTTGTGTTGACTTGTCACGTGTGCGTGTTGTTCAAAGGAAGTGTCATCGCATGTGTGCATGCGTGTTCATTGGGGGTTCACGCCTGTGCTTGCTTGGCATGTTCTGAACTTGCACACTGAGGCATCGTTGTTGTTTTCGCTTACCCTTGGAATGCGTGAGTGCTTGCATGCAAGAGAGTGTACGTGTGTGTGCATGGGGGCATGCCCACCACGCTACACTGCACTTGCAATTGTAATTGCACTTGCGCTTGTGTGTTCTTCTGTTGGATTTTCATTTCATTCCAATCTTCGCTTGCCTTTGCGTCTCCGCCAATAAAACGTGGACCATATGGAAACGCATGCGTGTGTGTGTGTGTGTGTGTGTGTGTGTGTGTGTGTGCGTGTCAATGTGACCTACTGTAGGCTTGAGCAAAAACAAGAAACAGGGGTTGGGTGGTGGCGAGGTTTTGGGGGGAACCATGTTTGAAAAATGATTTTGGGCGCAACATGAAACAATAAAAAAAAATACTTTCAGGGCAAAACACCGACAAGGGATTCCTCTGGGGTGTATGGTGTGGGGGGGAGAACGACCCCTCACAAATTGGGAAAAGGGGGGCAAAAAAGCCCACATTA